AGATACAGAAAACACTTCTGGATTAATTTCATTCTGATTTGTCCTGTGAGTGTAGAACTTGTAAGAAAATTGTTAATATTTTATTTTATTTTATTACAGCTACATCACATACTCTGAAGATGCTTGGGGTAAGGAAACTTGCAGTATCCTGTATGTTTTTAAGACACCAAAACCAAATATTCTTTAAACATTTTCAAGCCAGGAATATTTGGAGAACTTCTGTATGTAAAGCAGAGAAAGGTTTGTGTGTGTTGTGGTTTTAAAACCAGCATATTTTTTAATACAGTGAGTTTCAAATGTCTCCAATAGCGTTTCATGAAAAAATATGAAATGTTCCAATTAGATGATACACTTTAAGTGATGACCCTATACAACAAATTCAAAAACTTAACTGTTTCTAAAGTTCAGTGTATTAGTGCACTAAATATTTATGTTTTTTAGCAATATTCATACATAGAAATAGTGTTAAGTCACTTTCACTTGTGTTCCAAAAATAGTTTTAGGTAAAATATGTCCTTTATATATCTACTTGCAGTTGGAGAGAAATTTTTGTTACTGGGAGGTTCACTAAAAATGAACAGAATTATCTACATTTAAAAGTATTTGTGTTGTATATAAACATACTATACATTTTCTATCTTATTTTAACACATTATTTTTCTAAATTTACAAGTTACCGTGTTTGTAGTTTTCATATAACACATGGTCAAGAAAGTCATTACATTGATTTTGTCGTAATTTCCTTTGTCATTCTCTTAAGATAAACCTGTTCTGTCCATGAGAGTTATGGCTATAATGCTACACATTATGCAAGGGTATAGATAGCAGTATTTTCCAAAAGTAGGTCAAGTGACATAAAGGAGTTACAACCTCTGTTATTTTGAGTAAGAATAACCATTCATGTGGGTAGTGTAGTGCTAGTTGCTTTTTGTAAATCTTGTATATACTGTTGGGAGAAACAGTCTGATAGAAGTTATCAGTCATAAAATGCAGTTTGAATAAAACAGTTCAGGTCAGTAAAAGTGGTGGTACAACATCTTGGGAAGTAGACACACTGTGTTTGAATTATTTAATAGATTGTTTATTGTGTTTTTACATTATATCCAGTTTATTTCATTCTCATGAATTTAGGCATAGAATTACTCTGTGATAGATATCTTGTCAAATTTCCTATTATACGACAGATCTATCTCGTAATTCTAAGGATAACCAGTTTGACCTGCATAGAGTGAATAGAGAAAAGAATATTGGTGCTGTGACCACAGGATATTATGTTTTGTGCTGATGGATGTTTTGCTCTTTACTTGTACTCTTCTGTTTAAAAAGTTTGAAAAACTGTTATCATAATTGTTGGATCTAGGAAAGTATTCTACTGGACATTGAACTTTTGATGATGACTTCTATCTTGACTTGGAAAGAACCACCACCAATATCTGGTGTACCCTAAATGGCTGTTTATTCTTTTCCCCTAAAGACTGCGTATTATTGTGGTGGTGTGGTATCTGGTGAGTCCCGAGATTGGGTGGGGCAATCTGTATCCAACCTTTGCCAGCCAGAATAACTCAACCCCATCTCTTGTCAAAGAAACTTGAAAATACCAAGGAGATTCTGGAGGTATTGTTAATGGATGACATCTGACAATAGGAGCTATCTCATTGTGAAGTGCAATAGCAGGTGCCAACTGGCAAAATAGCTGAACCATAGAGCTGTGATGAGCCTCTCCAAGATGGAATGTATATTGCCGAGGGAATTGTGGATCAAGGAGGAGCCTCTGTTGTATAGAGTTGATGGGTGGGCTGCTAATGGCACCTTATATGCCATCCTGAACCAGGGTTTCACTACTTGTATGAGAATCAAAGTCCCTCAGAGTGCCTACCTAGGAAGCACCGAATCTAGGGGCAAGAGAGACAACTCCAACAGGAAGTCAAACAGCCAATGATTTTTCAGTTGTAATGAATAGAGTATCAGTGGTTTGTACAACTAGAGATGATGGTTAGGAATTTGAAAAATCAGCTAAACTACTTACTTGATCTTGGTGAGAGCTGAACAGAGAATACTACATTATCCTCACTTGGCTAGTATGTCTGAGAAGCATATGGCTTCTCTACATGAAAATTTTCTCCTGAGTGTATATTTATATATATTGTAGAAAAAGTACAAATATTAATCCTGAATGATGATAATTTTATCTTAGAAATGTTAATTTAGCTGAATTCTGCCAGAGATTATTTATTTTTGATGCCCAAAAAAGAAAAACTTGTGAAGTTTCACAACTCATAGTTGGCAGCACATTACAATACCGTGGTTGTCAAGATATGCCTTGCATGATGTAAATAAAGTTACTGAAGTAATTTGTGAGGGAACTGGTGGCAGTCTGATTAAAGCTGTTTTCAATGTGTAATGAAGATATGTTTGTTAATATATATATGAATGTGTGTGTGTGGTCTTACATGCATGTATGAACAATAAATGAAGTCATTAACGAGTGTTGCATAACATGAATCTACACAAAGACATATGAATAGAAACAAAAGATTTGACCTGGAAGTTTAGACTTTGTGATACGAGTTAACTGTAATTACTGTCCTGTAAGTTATTATTTGAAGATAGAGTGCACCTATTATTTTCATTAAATGCAAGAGAGAGAATGTTTCAGTTCTGACATTGAAAGGTTCAGCATGAATTGGAATTTTCATGGAAGGATAAGAATAATGGAGAAGTTCACACTACGTTTTGAAGAAAACACAATTCTATCTTGTTTTTCAGTAAGATTAGTGAAGGATATTTAATTTGGATCAAACTAAAATGTTTATGAGTGGGTGAAATTATTGGCAGTAAATGCATTTCACGGATACTAGCTTAGGCTGTAATAACAAATGTAACCTGGTGTTTTATTAGGTTATTATCGAATATGTTTATTCAGGCAGGTTGAAATACTTTATGAGCACATAGTTTTCTAAATATTTTCTTAACATTGGTTTGGTAAAAGGTGTAGTTAAAGATACATAAAAATAATCGAAAACTCAGAATGTCCCCCTAGTGGCTTTCTCAGCCATTTTCAAGCTGGTAAGTTGAGTCTGTATTCTGCTCAAAATTTCATATATTATTAGACCCAAATACACCTTAGTTACTAAGCTCGATAAATTATAGTGGATTTCTATGGTATCGATTTAGTAATTTATAATTTTTTGGTTACTTCAAGTGTATGTATAAAACCTAAAAAAAATTATTTCATTTCACATCCTCCACATATAAAATTTTATAAGGCTTAGCAAGCTATGACAAGCAGCAAATGAGTACAAAGGTCGTAACTAGAAGAGATAATTGTTTGCTTTACTTCAGTTACTGTTCTATGTTTTAAGAAAAATAAGTTTAAGAACTTATTTCTAAATAGTAATGTATATACATATATTATGTATAATAATTGAAATATGACTGTATTTTACATAATACTATTCCACTAAAACACAGCCAAGACAGGTCACTTTGTAAAGACTAAAGGTCAGTTTTATATTATTGGATATGGTAATATGAGTGCACATGCACCACGTCATTGTAACTTCTGAATTGTTAGCCAGGCATGGCTGAAAGGTCAACATCATAAAAATAATAAATGTATAATGTTACGAAATTTAAGGTATTTAGTCTAAACAATTATATTTTTGTGTTATAATTTGTAGTCATTGAAGAGCACAAAAGGCATAATTTATATTTACTTCCTAATTTTTACAGTGGGTACGAGATTGGTCAAATCAATTTAACCCATGTGGAGATTCATTAGGGAAAATAACAGATAAAATGTAAATTTTTTCTTAAGAAACATTTGATAACTATCTGGACACTACAAAGATTTTGCATGTGAAATTTCAAAATTTTCTGATGCATAAATTATTTTTAATCTTAAAATTAAAATTACTTTGCAACATACAAAAAGAAAAAAAAAAGGCATGAGAAAAACATTGCTCAACAAATATTAAGACTTAACAAAAAAATCTGATATTTTGTGTATGAAAGCCTTTTAATGTTTACTGATGATCTGCCAAATTTTGTGAACATATGTTTGCAAATTTAAAAGTTATAATATGAAAACTATAACAAGCACAAAATGGTTATGAAGTTGCTCCCAGGGACCGAGCCTGTGCTGAAAGAGTTAAGACCTTACTTTCAATCACATCAGGACCTTTGTACATTTTGTAGTTTATTGACTTAGTGTTGTACATATGGTAGGTATCTACATTTTTTCTTATTTTTTGTGTATTGTTTTTTTATTTCATGTGTAAATAGTCACTTTGTAAATATTTTATTAAGAACCACATGTTTTCATTTTAGGTTTTAAATGGTGATTATGGTTGTTTTTATAGTTTTTGTACAGACAATCATTGTTAAAGGGCTTTTCTGTGTGAATTGCATTTCAATGTTAGTGTTTTTACTTTTATATTTGTTGAATGTATGTGGTTGTAAGAGGGTTATTTTGTATTACTTTGAAAAGTTATCTTATTGCATAATGTATGAATTTAAAATTATTTTAAGATTTTTCTTTGTATATTAAATTACAGTTAGGTGGTTTATTTTGTAATTTGTATGTTGAATTAGTAATGATGGACATTTTGAGAGATATCCTTGGTGTAGGGTTAAAAGCTGAAACTGTAAAACATGTATCTCTGTGAAATCATGAATATAGTGTAATGGTACAGGTGAAGTGACAGCTCTACAGTAACTCGACATTTGCATAGTCTTTATGTTGAAACAATGTTATTGACTATTGAGCAGGATACAGGTCAGTGAGACTTCCAAACAGTCAAACTTTCTGATATTATCAATAAGATGTCACTAGTGTCTTTCCCACTTAGCCAAACACAATATTCACTGACTCAACAACACGATCAGCACATAAATCCAGCAGCTACTAAAGACACAATTGTATGCTCCACAAATTCCTTTAACAAAGTACTTTATAGCTAAGTATTACAAGTCTTGTGTCCCCTAGTTAACCAATTCTAAACATATACCTTATAGGAGATGCCTTTCCACTGATGAGAACATAAACATATCCACATCTATGTTTACTCTGCCTAGGGAAAGATGATACCCTGTATACATTGGAATTTATTCATCTACATCTGAACATCCAATAATATAGTATATCTTATGCATGGCAAAATTCAACTCAATTTTTCAAATTGAAGTATTATTATTAAGTAGCTTTTCATTTAAACATGTGTATATTGGTTTTCTCTGGATACATGTTTATTATTGGTGATAGTTGAAGGTTAAAACTTGTGAATGAAATATCACATTTTGCAAGTAATTCTTTACTATTGATCACAGAAATAATTTTATACAACTATATTTAACCAAATGACTGGTAATCGTTTTTGTGTTAAAATGCTCAATACATCTAATGCAGTTTAAATTTGTATATGGAAAATTATATGAAAGCACATCTTTATTGAAAATATTTTTGTTCTTTTATCTAGGTTTGAATTATCACCGTCCAAATGGCTTTGAAAAACGACTATTGGTATGGTATAAAAAATATCCTTCAGTTGTTGAGGTGCCGGATTTTGTTCCGTGAGTAATATTTATTGTTTTCTACATTTCAACTTTTTTCTTTAAATAATTAAGATATGACTTACTAGGAACCAAGAGGTTCCTGAAGGTTACTATGGCGAACTAAAGTATTAACACCCTGATCTCTCAAATACACTTGTAACAATACTTCAAGGTCTGTTAGATAAACTTATTACAGTCTTCCAAAGGGACACACTTAATGATGTCATTGTAAGCTATTATCATTATAATCCACTGGAGTATTGTAAAGAAGTGTTCATTTCATATAGTAATAAAGTGAAATATTTAAAAAACAACAAAATTAAAATTCATTATTTACATTAAGAGGTTTAACAGGTGGGCAGCTAATCTCAAGTGGATCTTCCATATGATCCAAATACAAAGCCTTCAGCTGTGCAGAATAGTGAATTCAGCTCATATTTGTGATTCAATAATAATAAAAACTGTGTGATTTCTTGCACTCTTTGTATAACTAAATATTTGTTTAATTCATGATTGCTACCTCAATTGATTGATTATCTAACACATTGTTTGAAAAGGATAAATTAATTGATGAAATTAATTTTTTTTCACTGCTAATACCAAAAAGCTGTGGGGAATAAATATGGTACACAAATGATAAATAAGTAGTAATTAAGCAATTTTTTGAGAAAAGTACCACTATAAACGATGTATTTCATGTAACTTTGATATAAGGCATATGTTTCTCAACCTGTTTAACAATCAAGTTTAATTACACTATTATCCAAATGATTCCATGACTGAAAATGTTCGTACAATTTATGGTTTTATTTTCATTTATTCTTGAAAAAAAAATAAGCTGCAAAAAAAATGATTTTTTTTTAGCATGTCATTATCCCTATTTTAACCACCACCCCTTGAAAAAGTACGGAATTAAACATACAATACTATCTATAAAATCGTTATTGGTCAGAAAAACCATAATTTGTATTGTCTTCAATTTTGTTTGGTTACAGAGCTATCAATTAGAAAATCAGACCCCTCCTGCCACATCCTCTCTTTCAAGTTTTCATCTGTCAAATGACGTATATTATAACGTTATATTCCGAACAGTTATATGTCAATTTAACTCAGAGTACCAACATCGTTCACGTGGGAAAGTTAATGACTAGCTTGGATGAATTTGTAAAAACTCTTATCGCATAGTTAGAAAGCCAGGAAAATTTTGAGGGGTAGGTGAATTTGCATACTGTTTGCATGTTAATAGTCTATATTCTTTGGTGCATTATTTAATTAAGTAAAAATTATTAAGTGCATTACTATCTGTAGTATAAAAAAAATTAGGGTTAAGTCTCTTTGAAAACTGACAGCAAGAAAAAAGAAGATTGGTTAAGTATTTTATTTCTTGTTTTTCATGTTTATTCTTTATGTATAATTTTAAAAGTAACTAAAATGTAAAAATAGGGATCCTTTTAGATTTTTTTAAGATTAGATTAGGTAAAATAAATAATAATAATAATATTATAATAAAAATGTTTCATGAGGCACACACGCAAGCAGCTCATGGGTAATGAAATTCATTAGTGTAATGTGAGCTGCACATTCCTAGAGTGATTTACAGCTTATAATGGCAAATATAGTAGTTAGACACAGTTCAAACAGCAATAAACCAATAAAATTTAATTATAAATAGATGTATACTGTTACGAACTTAAGAGGTACTTAGGATAAACAAATGTAGTTTCATGTTACAATTTGAAGTCATTTTAGAAAGAAAAAAGGGTAATTTAGGTTTATTTAAATTTTTTTTTGGGGGGGGTGGTTATCCTGTTTCGAGATAGGACAGAGAAAATAACAGATAAACTATAAAGTTTTACTGAAAAAAGTTTGAAATATATTTAGGAAATTTTAGGTACAACACAAAGGAAATTTGAAATTTTTGAGATAAGGAAAAGTATTGTTAATTTTAACATAAATTACTTTGCACATGGATTATTCTAAACAAATAATATATTCATGGACAAATCTTTATTTTATTTTATTAAAAATACTTCACTAAAAATATGAATTTGAAGATATACATACTATATTGAAAATTAGAAGTATTAAATCTATAAAGACTAAACGAGTACAAAGAGGCCACACGGTTGGTCAAATTGACTGAGCTCGTGTTGAGAGAGTTAAAGCAACAGAGACAACTAAGCAGTTTTTTTCTGGTTAATGAAGTTAGTAAATAAAAAGAGTTCTTTTTTTTTATCTATTAGGGTTCTGATTGTATTAATAACAGGGATAGTTTAGTAATAACCACTGTCTGTTTTATATTAAAAATGTGGCATTTACTGATGATTTTTTTTTTACATAACAGTTTTATACTAAGTTTATGTAGTTATTTTATGTTCAAGTAGTCATGGTCTTTTTATTTGCTCTTATAATATTTGTTCAGAAGCAAAATTAATTTGTACTGTATGCCTCAGGCAATGATATTACTGAACAAGAAATACTCATGGATAAGGAGATAGTAAGAATTATTATTACAAAAACATTATAACTTGTCATCAGTATAAATTTTGGAACATTTAAAAGAATGATAAAGATATACAGTGTGACAAGGTGTTTATAGTAACTTAATGTAAATTAAATTGTAATAAAATAATTGAAAAGATACATTTTAATGTTTTCCTTTATTTTTATGCCTCAAGTTTGTTTACTTGTTGAGGTTAATTATTTTCTGACTGTAATTTCTTTTTTACAGCCAATCTACAATGGAAAGAATTCGTAATGTGGCTCGTATTAGAATCAACATTTTTCTTTGTTTTGTAACTGCCTTGGCTTGTATTGGAATGATTTACAGTGGGAAAAAAGCTGCTGAACGAGGAGAGTCGTTTGCTCAGATGTCTAGGGATTTTCACAAAAAAAGTGCAGAAAATTCAAAACCATAAGTATTTGAACAGTATTACTAGTAACAGTAACTAGAGTTAAAAACTTAAAAGTATTTGCGATATAGATCTTCATATATTATTACATCTGATTTGAAAAAATCATAGCTCATAATCTTTAAATCAGAAAGTCTGTAGGTGAATTCACTACTAGTTTACAAGGGATAAAACATCTACTAATAAAAACAAAAGTTTTAGAAAAGTGTTTTTCTACAGAATTCATTAAATTTTCACTAAAATAGTAATGTAGTTTTTGGAAAGAAAAATGTTCAGATCTATTTTATTATGAACCCATAGGTTTCATGAAATACAAGTTACTGAATATGTAAGGTACTGTAATAATTTTGTTCCCCAATTTTCCTTGCTAGTTACATATGTTTAATCAGAAGGGTTTGTTTTATTTCTTATATGTAATTGATGTGAATATATTAGTACATTACTGAGAAATAGTAGTAGCTTATTACTTTATTGTAGTAACCACTGAGGGACAGTATTATAATAATTTTTACAGCTTATAAAATCACTTGAAAATTGGTGGAGTCAAAGGAACATTTAATTTTGGCTGGACAAGTCAAATTAATCAGAAATATCCTATAAAGACATGATAGCTCAGATTCATATGAAAATCAAAAAAAAATTGTAAGTGAACTACCACCAGAAAAATTCAACAGAAGTGGACTTTATTTTAAAATACTTTTTTTTTTTATGTATGATTTATAATTTTTGACATTTCAGCTATTTTACATTTTCCATTTGAAACCCTTGTTTTTTAAAGTGATTTTTTAGTATTTATGATGTTAATCTATTTTTTTGAGCCAATGAATAATGTATCCTCAAATTATAAATGTAAAAAAAGTTTTCTTACTATCCATATTGGTTGTTACAAGTCATCGAATATAAATGTTGGAAGAGGCTGTTTAACCCTATGTCCACAGGTGGAGTTAATGTGTACATGCCCCAACCTTGTACACAGTGCCTTTCAACATGTTATGTATTTGATGTCACAGTTATCAGCATTTCATGTTACCCTACATTGCTGAATTCTCAAGTTTGTATAAGAGTAAATAAAGATACTGAAAAAACTACAGATATGCATTTAAAAGGTTTTGCAAACTGAGCTATAAACAAAAGTATTTTCATTCTTCATATAAACTATCAGCTTGCACTCCAACTTGTCAGCCTGAATTAGGCTGACTTAGATATTTCACAGACATATCGATAGTAAAAAAATTTTAATAACACATTTAGTATTTTTCTGTACAGCAACAGCTTTGTAATGTTGACTAAAAATTTGTCAAATTTAATGAACATACAATTAGTGAGTTTGAAATTATAGTCAACATAATTTCTCTGTACAGACCCCATGTGCATTTCTCTTAATTTAGTTACAATCGAACTTGAGATATTTTTTAAACATTGATCAAAAAGTATTAAACATTAATAATTGATTTGTTTTGATGTTAATTTATAAGTGTAGTTGATTTTTATGCTAGTTTCCTTAAAGAAATTTTAATTTATAATACTGGTTTGTTGCTGTTAGTCTGTAAAGAAGATTGTATATCAAAGAGTAAAATAAAAAATCCTGTGTTTATTATAAGGCTAGTTTGAGTTATTTTTGAACTGCCTACTATATTTCAGCACATGTTTATATCGATGTACAGTCAAGTTAAGGAAGATGTTATCAATTACTTTATAATGCTGAAGCAAATCAAATGTTTGTATGAATTCCTAGCTGTTTGGTTTTAATATAGATAAGTGATTTTATTAATAAATTTAAACATGATATTTTAGCAAGTACATATTTCTGGAGAGGATCAAGTTACTTGTAAATACAAGGATAAAATATAGGAATAATGACAACTTTGATCCTGGGAATTCTTATATGACAGATGCACTATTTGTTTTATGTAGTTACTGTTAATTGTCAAGTTTTATAAGTTTGTGGGTCCAACAGACATTGTTTTTAATGTTAACTTGGGATGCACGGTACCCGGCCAGATAATCGGTCCTGGCTGGTTAATGGGTTACCTGATAATACTCAGCTCCTGCCAAGTGTTGGAGTTAAAAACAGCTGAATCTAGGTAATTGAAAATGGCATCTGAGCCCTAATCTTTGTGGCAACTTATGTAGTACTGAAAGTTAGGCAGTAATTGGTTTAGTTATAAAAATATGTTCCGAGCAACAAAGTCTGACCGCCAGCTGAAAGTTGGGGATTCAGAGAACAATTGAGGTTAATAACAGGTATGGCTCGAGAAGTGGATTTCTAGGGAAGCTAGGGGTTTTGAGAACAATAGGGGTTAGGGTTTGAGAAGTTAGGGCTAGGCATTAATCAGAAAAATGATTCTAAAACGTGTCAATATCACTGTTTCTGAGTTTACTTTCACTGGTCTCACTTTTGAAAGTCAAATGAAGCTTGATTTCCCACAATGGCCAGGATAGCAAGGCGTTACCTCTCCACACCTCCACCTCCAACAAAGTCTGACCGCCAGCTGAAAGTTGGGGATTCAGAGAACAATTGAGGTTAATAACAGGTATGGCTCGAGAAGTGGATTTCTAGGGAAGCTAGGGGTTTTGAGAATAATAGGGGTTAGGGTTTGAGAAGTTAGGGCTAGGCATTAATCAGGAAAATGATTCTAAAACGTGACAACATCACTGTTTCTGTGTTTACTTTCACTGGTCTCACTTTTGAAAGTCAAATGAAGCTTGATTTCCAACCAGTGTAGACAGCGAACGGACTTTTAGCTCTGCTGGTAACATTATCATACAGGAAAGGTCGAGGCTTTTACCCGGAAATGCCAAAATGCTACTGTTTCTCAAGTACAATTTAAACAAATTCCAAAAACACAGGCATTCTGCACACTGGTGTGCACATTTTTGTTAGTTAATTTTGAAAACTGAAAGTAAAACTGGAATATTCTATTTGTGATTATTCATTTAAATGTGATAAACGTCAATTTTGTTTTTGTTTCTCATATTTGTGATAAAAAAATGCCCATAGAAACTGTAAAATGTAAAACTTAAAATTTGTATGGACCTAATGAACTTCCATACCAGTGTTGGTGAAGATCCATCCACACCCTGCAAAGTAGTTATATGGACATACAACAGACAGTACTATTATATTTATATAGATACACATAAATGTATGAAGATACTGCTCTACATCACATTAACTGTTAATAGATTATTATTAGGATCATACATGTTCTGTAAATAAAAACAAATCAATGAAAGCAAAAAAAAAGGTCAAATGTCAGTTATGAAAACCTTTGCACTACTGGTATTGATGGTTATATTATTGATTGAAATGAACATGAGCTAAACTGTTTTAACTATTCTAAAAATTTGTACTCTGGTGTCTATTTGTAGAAGTTCTAGTAGCCAAACCTATAAATATTGGTAGCAGGAATTTTGTACAATCTGAGAATTGGTATTTTTCTTTCCAAAATGTTGTCTGGTTCAGTAATCTAGCAGTACCAGTTCTTAACTGCCAAGCATGTGTTATAGGTGTCTCAAGGAGGATAAAAAAATCTTAGCTTATCTACCAGTGGTCATGAGAAAGTAAAAATAAAGTTTACCTGCTTGTACTTAGTGTAAATTGTATATATATTTATAAAGTTTACCTACTTGTACTTAATGTGAACTGTATATATGTATAAAGTTTACCTACTTGTACTTAATGTGAACTGTATATATGTATAAAGTTTACCTACTTGTACTTAATGTGAACTATATGTATATATATATAAAGTTTACCTAATTTTACTTAATGACTGTACCATAACAGTATTGTATCTGTCATCTGCAAGTCAGAATGGAAAATATTATACAGTTTACACTAAGTACAAGCAGGTAAACTTTATACAGTTTACACTAAGTACAAGTAGGTAAACTTTATACATATATATATAGTTTACATTAAGTACAAGTTGCAAATTTTAAACTGATTGGATGTGAAGTTAGCATAAATATTACTCAGAGCTAATTAACAGTTAAGTAAAATGTATAACTTCAATATTTCTCTTCTAGTGTAGTATGTTCCAGATAAGTTTGCTCATAATGATAAGATGCTAATTTGAGACCAGTTCTATCAGCTCATTTATATTTGCCAAAAACTCATTGTTTTTAAGGCAGAGCTTCCAATTGACTACTCAGGAAAACTTCATACAAATGACTATAACACACATTTTATTGTAATTATATTTAATTCAAAACTAGACACATCAAAATAACTAATGCTTTGAGTTAAAAATTTGAAAATCTATATGGAAAAAAATATTTTGAAAACAATTGGTCACAGTTTTGAAAAATGCTATCTATTTATCTCCTTTACTCATGCTTACAGTTCATACAAATGTTTTCACTACAAAAATGATAAACAGCAGCAATGATATTATTTCAGAAGAGTGATTATTTCATGATGAAAAACTGTGATATTCCAACAATCTCGTCAAAGCTTCAAGTCGGAAGGTTTGAAATAATTCCTACATCGCTCATAAAATACCTAGAAATATTCAAATTTCTTTACATACATTAATAAAGCAAGAAAACTGCACGTATATATTTTAAAATAATATGTTCCTAATGCTCAATTATATTGTACTTCAAAGTTCTGCTTCACTGTTTTATGACTTAAATCATTAAAAGGTAATAAAATTGCATTAAGACAAGACAATATGAAGAAGTCACTTGTTTACACAGCATACAATGATATTACTCCCAGTTTTCATTTCTACAATATATTCTTTTTTTGAAAAACAGTGAAAACTGACATATCACATATTTCGCTTTGGTTAAGGATTGTTATATATGCATATTCTAGATTGAAGTGCAACCTTCCTAATGGACATAATATTGTACTGTTTTATACAATTCCACACAATTTTTATTCCAGTATACTATACAATAGCATCTGTTTTAACTACCAAGTAATGAGTTTTTCATCAGATAATTTAAAAAAAGTAGTAATAATAATAATAATTTTGTTCTAAACAATTTTTAGAATTTAGTTAGTTCCAAAGGTAATGCTGGAATACAATATTTAATAACTTTGAAAACTTATGACTTTTTTACTGTTACCTTGATCAAAACCAAAAACATGTTATTATAAAGTGCCAGATAGGGAGTATAGGTTATTATATTTAACTCTGAATTCTTGACAGTTTCTATTTTATATAACATTTTGAAAAAAATCAGCCCTTTAAATTTTTTTAAAAGTAGATTCAATTTCTTAATTTGATTCTTTTTAAAGATAATTCAAATATATTTTGAAATAAAATAATTCAGAGATTGTCCTCAAATGATTTCACGAAATACCTTTAAACTTCTGTCCTTCACTACCTCTTCCACACTGAGCTCATTCTGCATTAGTCGTAACTGAAAATAAATTATAGTTCAAAATACCTATAGATAATAAATCCTTTTGATTAATAGTGGGGTTCAAAAATGAGAAAACAATCACTAACCAGTGTACCCACATTTGTTGAACAACGTTTAAAATTGGCTCTTTTTGAGGAGATATTATTTTTCAAGGTCTACAAATGTGCCTCATAACCATGCATAAAACATAATATTTTAGTGTAGAAGGTCAAACAAATATTAAGGTTTCTCATATCATTGAAGTAACACCCAAAAAGGACAAATATATTGTGTTGCAGTTGCCTGTCAGAATGGTGCAAAAATAAAATTACACATTTCTTTAATAGTAATTTAGCTTGTTTTCTTAACTATTTTTACCCCAGCATCAAAGGGTGCATGTCACAACCTTTTACAGGGTTGCATTACAAATTTAATTAAACTTTATTAAAGTATGTCAATAAGCTTAGCATCAAAATGTAGTTAATCATTTAGATTTTTTATATTACCCAATTTTAATTTCTTAATTTGAAAATAAAATATTCAAATAAAGTCTCAGTCTTTATTTCTTTGTGTCATGTGATGCCCTCATGCTCCAAACTGCCCATTTTATAATTTTGTTTCTACCCTTTTATGGATTTCAGAGTGTCCAATTAATTACAAACTCTTACTATAGGTATCACAACCCACAATATAAATTTAGAACCTTCAATCTTTCTCCTTGATATAAATATAAAAACAAAATTATATCAAACCCACATGACACATCCCTCCTGTACCATTCTGTCTTTCAAAAATGTCAATAATTCTCAATGTCATTGCTATTGGATTACATATAATTAATAGAAAGAGTAGCTTTTTCTTTACAAGATTCTTTATATGGGTTATTTCACTGTGCTCCTCGTAAGTACATATCTGGCCTCAATTCCATTGTTTGCAATCATGGTGTTCAGCTTTGAGCAGCTAACAGAATATTTTAAATCTATTTAGAGTTAGAAAGCCAGTTAAATTATAGTAGTTTTGGAGCATTCTATTATAGTGTGAAATAAATTTTTTATGGTCTAAAATGTATATATGAAAGAAACAAATTATTTTGTGTACATTGAACAGCATTATAAAAAATTTAAGTTTACAATACCTCCTCCTAGATGGCTAAAGACCCGAGTCCAGTTTTAACTACTATAATTCTTGTTTTTTGAAAGCGTTTTTTTATTTATTGTTATAAAAGTAACTAAAATACAAATAAGAAACTTATTATGTTAGAAATAAAACTTAAATGAAAGAAAATTACATAAAAACTTTCCTGTGATACTCAAGGCAATTATGTGCACATACCATATCACAAGTGTAAGTTGATCATTTGTTTACACAAAGCTGGTCTTCTGTGATAAATGGTTTTAGCACACTCTGACTATGTAAAGCTGTAAAGTAATAAAGCTAAATGAAATAGGATGTGAATAAAATAAAGTTTTACTTAAAACATCTTTTGATATTCATTTAGGAGGTTCTGTAGGTTATGCAAATTAAATATGAACATTTTATGATAAAAACAACTATTACCATTTTCACCATGAAAATCACCTTTCACTCAGATTGACCTAGTAAAGTCATCAGAAATTCACAGATAAATCCTTTATACAAATACTTTATTGAAAATTCTGATATTTTTTCGTACAACAGAATTTTAATATTTACTAAAAGCTTGCCACATTTTTGTGAAGATACATCTAGTAAATTCATAATTATAATAAACATTATTTCTCCAATACAATGTCAGTCTAATGGACCAATGCTGTAAACATGGTTATTGAAATGTAGATGTAACTAGGCAATAAAATGACTGAGGTAACCTATACTTGAATTGCTGACAAAACAGATCTAAAAAGCAAACAAAACAGCCTCACATATGATAATACAAATCAAGTATGACAATAAAAACAAGTACATTAAAATAACTAACAATGGATAGCATTAACTCATCATTATTTCATACATAATGTCAAAATTCAATGAATCTTACCTTTGTTTGTTCTTTACGGAGTTTTTTTAGCAAAACTAAATTATCTGCATCAGCCAAACGTTTCTCTTTTAGAATTCTAACATCTTCTGAAACATTTTCTATGCACTTCTTTAAGGCATGTTCTCTCTTTTCATAAGAATCTATTAACTAAACAGTGAAAGGAAATTTTCATTTGGTGTTGATTGGTACTACAAGGGCTGAGATATCAGCATGGCAGACAGACGGCTTTTCATCTTTATATAATAGATAGGGTCTAATCTTCTGCTGTTTTAGAACTTATGTCTTTGTAATATAATCAGAAATGAAAAGTTTATTAATTATAAAGCTTTCTGCCATGACAGGCAAGTTTGTCTTTTTAAAAATTCTTCCAGCTGGTGCACAAAAAATCATAATCATTGGCTGAAATTCCCCATTATGTTTGCTTGGTTTTCAAGGAGACACACTGATGCAACATCACAAAATTTTGTCTAATTGGAACCCTCAGCTACAACTCTATAATAAACTGCATGATTTACCCATAGAACATTTAAATTTTGTAAATGCCCAAATTAAAGCATGATTCTTCAGCTCAACAGGTAAACAAAGTCAAAACCAGGAAGACAGTCCAAAGAGAAGACCCCAAAATTTATAATGAAATTCACAGCCTTTACCATCACAATTAATAATTTGCAGGGTTATATAGTTGATCAAATAGAAATATGTCTTGGAGAAACAGTTTTTAGCATGTTTCAATTTATAAGGATTTATCAAGAAGAACATTTGAACATAACTTTAAAATATACAGAAGTCAAAATGCTAATAAAAAATACTTAAAAAGATGGCCAAATTTATTTAAAAAATGTTTTTATGAAATACTAGGAATAGGATAATCATTTCCCACACATATGTTGTTACTAGATCATAATTAATTTTTAAAAACATGTTCATAAAACATTTATTTAGATATAATTTTGAAAGGAAAAATTAATCATTATTTCCCATCCTATGACAGACATTCAGTTCGTATGCAAATAAAAGCCTTAGTCACGACATTTATAAAAAGGCCTTGAGGATTGCAATAACAATCAGAGCAATTATAACTGATCAGTTTCTGCTAATGAAAACAGTTAAGACTCACTAGATAGTAACACTCCCAAACTGTAATAAAACTCTTAAGGGAAAGTGTTAAATACATTAACCTTCAGACTCTCAGATACACATAGGAGCTTAAAATGTAAATTCTAATAGTAACAAATACATAATTCAGTAATGTTTTATTTTAAACTCTTGGGTAACAAATGTGAAAAACATCATCCCACACTGAAACATTTGATAGTTTCAATGTTTTATATAATTCCATACTGAATAAAGTTAAATGAAGAATGTATCTGTTAGAAAATTAAAAAACTATATTTTCAATACATCTCATAATTACTTTTTTGGGTTTAAAATGTAGATATATATGCATAAGCCCTCTGTGCACCTTATTAGTTGAACAGTTTCATGCATTATCATCTGATACACATGCAAAATATTCTATATATATATAAACTTGTTTCTATGAATGTTTATGCATACATTGTAATTAAGTATTGTTGAATTAGAAAAGTTATAACTATCAGCTTGTGAAACAGACTGTTGATATAAAATGTTTAAATTTTCACACATAAATACTAGAAGCTAAACTTTTTCAACAGTATACGTAATTAGAAATATCATTAATTTTTCCTTTTCAAGGATGTAGTTAACATAATCAGTTAACAGATATGTATATGATTCTGATGTATATTAAGATGACAAACTGTTCAAACTATTTGCAAGTGCTTACACGTAGAATCTAAACTTCCAACAATGCTGCTCCTTTCCCATTTTCTTTATATATGATTATATTTTAACAGTTTTTACGTGCAACTACAGTACTGGAAATAATCATGGAAATGTATTTCACAAGGGAACCCAAGTATTCTTCATAACTTCAGCTTTTCTTGGGATAGCTGAAGTTGTTGGAATTATGGAAATGGTAAGGAAAGAGAGTATAAATGGCAAATACTACTGAAATGCCATCTCTTTATTGAGTGAAGATAAACTGCACCATAGAACAGTTACTTGCTGATAAATTACACTATAATTGCATATCACCTAACCAATCAGGAAGTGCCACATAAGTATAAAGGCTATAAAAGTACGGGCAGTCATATTTTCCCAGTGGATCCAATCATGGATCAGAAGAGTGAAATACCACAAGACATGCATGTAAAACTCAAAGTTTTGGATAATCAAGAATACTCCATGTGAGGATTTGCTGCAAAACTCCTTGTTAAGAATGCATGACAGAAGAGGGTATGTGAAACTGGCAATGTTAATAACAGACGTAGTTAAAGTAGAAACTCTCCAAAGGTAATGTTAAGTATCTACAGGTTTGTTCTTTATAAAAACAAAATAATGCAAAAATGCCAACCTCACTGAAAATATAGGTGCAAATTTTACCTCAAGAGCAGCAAGATACAAGTTACCACAAAGCAGTCTCAGTGGATATGTAACTGTTCTTAAGTTGTTGCTGAGAAGAGGTAATCAAACCACATGGTTGAAATGGGAATCACACAACAAACAATGATATGATCAAAGGTGGAGACATTTGCCCTTTACATATGAATCCAAGATCAAATTATTCAGCAGAAACAATCAACAGCTGTTTGTTCAGAGGCAGAGAGCAAAATGGTATCAAAGTCAATATACAGCATCCATAGTGACGCATGGTGGTGGATCAGTACGAGCATTTCAATCAATGGTCTCATTTATCTCCACAAAATTGAATGCACACTCATTGCTGAGAAGTACAATCCATCAAGACATTCCAATTCCTTAGGAACATGACTCATTGGGTGGTAATTCATCTTCCAGCAAGACAATAACCCCAAGCATATAACAAATGAGGTGAAACAAAGTCTTGGTAATAAGAGACTGAAAGAACACTCACAACCATGGCTTGGCCTGCACAAAGTCCAAGTATGAACATTCTTGAGGCCAAAGGGACTTATATAAAAACTGAGAAGGTGAAAAAAATTACCAAACAACATGCCTAAGTTATGTGGAATAATAGAGAACATTTGGAACAATATTCCAAATCATACATTAATAAACAGTATGGCAGCATGAAAGCCAGGTGTAGTGTTCTGTGTAATGCAAAAGGTTCACATACAAAATTAATACTATTACACTAGACAACTTATTTTTCTTTTGTATTTTTTGTGATAATGTTTTGTGCCATGGAAAATTCAGCATCTAGTTGCCATTACTGATTTGTGACTCCTTTATGTGTTATCACTTGTGTGTTTTCATAAATATAATAGTTAATCTTTCTATCTAAAGAAAAGAATCATTAACATAATGATAATTACACAAAAATATAGCAAAATACTTGAAAATAATTATTTATTATTTGCAAATAGCTATAAACAATACATAACTAAGCAGTCTCTCTTATTAGAAGACTAAAAGAATTTTTTTTTAAATTTCGTTTTATGTTACTTAAAGAATACAATCTTTCTTTAAAGAAAACAAAACAGACATACCTGTTCATATAAATCTTTGCAATGATTAGATACTCCTTTCGCTGCAAATGAATCAGTAGGAATTGTTGTATTTAATGCATGTATAATATTATCATCAATCTTCCTCATTTTTTTCAAGGCATCCTGTTGAAAAAGCAATGAGTCATCAACATCAGAAATATCTGAACTATGACAGTTAAAACACAATTTCACTGCACTTACCACAGCAAGATAACTCAAGATTCTAGCTTGCTAGTAGAGAATTTTACAATTATAGTACAAGTTTCAGCATACATTATTATTTAAAGCTTAACCACTTACTTAATGCACTTATCAACATAAAATTTGCATTAAATAAAAAGGCTAAAATATTTGTTAAATTATTAAGCTTACTTGATTTGCCAGCTTAAGACATACCACATTATTTAATGTGCATAAAATCTCAAAATCTTTTATAATTAGTGTTTTAATTCTTGTATCCCAAATGTACTACTAAGCTCATGTATGGAGTGAAAGAATATTTCAAACAACATTTCTACATTGTAATAGTCCAGGCAGAAAGTTGTATGTTTGAGACTAGAGTTCTGATAGCTCAGTTGAGTTTCAGTGTAACATATTAAAATGTTAGGAAATCCTGTTTGACCAGGACTTTAACTTGGAGAGTGTCAACTCACACCAGCACTCTGAGACTGATGTCCTTATCGAATGATTTGCCACAACTCAATACAAAACAAACAACTCTCCATCCTGATCATTACATTTAGAACCATTGTGATGTTCCATGCTTCTTTCTTAATTTCCAGGTCTCCATTTCAACCACAGCTAGCTCAAAGTTCAATATTGACTATCACAAAATGTTATATATTTCAGTACGTACTAAACAGCTGATACATAACTTTCCTTTAATTAATGCCAAAGGCCACAACTACACAAATCACATAATTAAAAGATCAATTTACTGAAAGGCCTTATGAACTACAGTTACCATGTAATGTTGGTTTCTTTAGCCATATTAAAGGTAAAAAGAATGGGATTTGGACATTCATAGGCTGGGGTATGGTTTTGTTTGACGACTGTGAGATTACTGACCTTTTAAATAATATATTTTTATTGGTTTTCACCAGTGAGTATGTTGGCTGGATTCATGAGCTTGAGAATTTGTTTTGAAAAAATGTTTTAGGAGTTTGGGACATGAATGTTGATACAGAGTTTGTTTGAAAAACAAGATGAGAAATCAAAAACAGATAAATATCTTAGACTTGACGATGTGTACCCAACAGTTTTAAAAGAGGTTAAGGACAGATGTTAACATTTTCTTACCTGAGTATGTATTTCAAACAGATACAGTACAGATGGATAATACCTAACACTACTGCTGAAAAGGTTGTTTGCATGACCCAAGCCTTTAAACAAAATTCTCACCCTTACACATAATAATGTGGACTATGCAAGTCTACAGTACCATCAGCAATAGACCTTTCCATCAATAAGATGGCAACACATCCTCCATGAGCACCACTCCCTTGGAGCACTTTATGTACACCAAGAGCTCATTCTTGACAAGGCAAAAGAGACACACCAGAAGTGGGCACATAATAATGTGGACTATGCAAGTCTACAGTGCCATCAGCAATAGACTATACCTTTCCATCAATAAGACGGCAACACATCCTCCATGGGCACCACTCCCTTGGAGCACTTTATGTACACCAAGAGCTCATTCTTAACAAGGCAAAAGAGACACACCAGAAGTGGGCAAGTAGGGTGGGTGGTTCTGTGGAGAGGTGGGTATCTATCTGAAATACATTTTCAGATAAGGAAAATGTTAACTTCAGAACCTGCTACTCCCCTCACCACAGAAACAACAGTTAGTGTTCCACACTCAGAAAATGTTGGGTGGAGTGGTGTTGAGAAAGAAATTAAAAAGACGAGCTCCTTTCTCAGAAGATAATGACAGAATGGGAAAACTCGTGGAGTGTCTCCTACTAGGGTGGATCTAGTGAGAGCATCACTTGGTGAGAGAGGAGTATTTTTTTTCAGTACAAGTAATAGCATAAAAATTATGTCAAAAGAACTTCTTGAATGATTTTGAAGTGTCACATAGACGGGTGTAATGTAAAAGCTGCTTAATTGTCCTGTATATTCCATGGAAGCAGTAGTACATGCAAGTTAAGTGTGGCTAGGGCAGGTCTCGACAAATTCCAAGTGCCAGGTTGTCATGGTGACTAAAAATTACATTATGGCACCTAGTATTTTATCCCATTTTATTCGTGCATAGAGCTGTGCTAAATAGAACTCGGATGTAGATGCTTTTCTTTAATTTTATTTCTTATACTCTTTGTGAGCCAACCTGGTTTTTTCCTTGTAGCTACCCTTTTCTTTCTATTAGGAATATGTGTACATTTAATATTTAAAACTTTTCCACATCTGATCTGTGTCTCCAAATAACTCAGCTGCCCAGTTTGCAATAGATAACTCTTGTTGCATCCCTTCAAAATTTGCTTTTATGAAATTTGTAACCAAAATATCATTATTCCTTATCTCCATATGCAACA